GACGATAAGCTGCAAATTGTGAAGGGTGGATTTTTAGTCCACGCCGATTGGTTGGCCTGTAGGGTTGGCCTCATCGTGAGTGAGGAACCGATTTCCCGAAAACATTCAATTTACCATAAATACGTTGATAGTTCCCCCGTCTGCCCATGGTAATGAAGAATACCATGACGCGCAGTTAGGATTCTTACTAGCAACCCTACGACGTTGGGGTCAGCTTCGAATTCCGGAGATGCGAGCGTTGAACATTCAGAGCATGGAGAAGATGGAACGGACATGTCAAGCGGTTCCCAGTTGAATTCGCATGGGAGGTTATATAGGCGTTCGGTGATCTCTGCGCGATCCGGTTCCAGGCTGCCTAAATGACAATAGCCGCGCCATTCTGAGCGTATTTGGCTACCAGTGTACCATACCGTAATTGCCGCGTCGTGCCATCCTCATTTGTTCTTGGCTACGAGCATGCGACTCCATCAACAATTTAAAATCACAAACGATAACAGGCTTCATGCTCCGGTCACCCCTCCATGTCATCTAGTTATACCTGCGCCTGCAAGCGAATCTTCACTGCCCAAAACTACTTCAGCCAACATCAGCGCTCGTGTATTCACACGAAAAAGCGATTGTCATCGGCTCTATCTTCCTTTAAAGAATTTGTAGGATGCAAAAAAAGGGCGCGCACCTCACCCGGCCCTCTTGAGGTGCATGAAACGCCGAGGGAAGTGCCCGATGCGTTGCCCGTTGCCCTTAGCTCGGATGATACCAATGCTTCTACGGCCACTCAATATTCCGAGGCTGGAGTCCATCCTGCTCGGCCTACCTCTGGAGGAGGGATTACACCCCCAGATTGTGAAGTAGGAGACATTGACGGAGGAGAGGACATTAGTTTGGCACGGCGGAGATCGCGACGTCAGAACCGCCAGCTGCCCCTGAGATATAGGGATGTACTTCCACAACCTCCACCTACGGTGCCCAGGGAAGTGCGAAACCAACCTCCGGAATCTGTCGGATCTGTAGTCACTTTATGTCAACGACCCGCCTTGCACGCGCGCACGGTTTTTCGTACCCCTCCAAATATATTTGGGCTGGTGCGTCAATACTTTTCCTCGCAACCGCCACCCCACGATCCGGAAGAGTATGTAACTCTTGCAGACCTCTCGCTTTTACCGGGCAGCTCCCAAGTTTCTGAGCAAACTCATCCGTTGACTACTTCGAGCAGCGAGTCTCAGTACCACCCCTATCCAAACCGCTCTTCCTTTCAACTTGGCGATTGGTATTGGAATCAGGGGATCCAAAAATCGCAAAGTGACTATACTAAACTGCTTGGAATCTTGGGCGATAATACATTCAATGTCGCCGATGTGACGTCTACTCATTGGAAGAAGATTAACTGCCAGCTGGGTATGAATGAGTACGACGAGGAAGATGGAGATGAATGGGAAGACGAAGATGCTGGATGGAAATGCACACCGGTTTCCATTAAGGTTCCTTTTTCTCGCACTTCTGATGCACCAGGTACTCGACTTTACAGAGCTGCAAATTTGTACCATCGCTCCCTGGTGGCGGTCATACGGGAGAAGCTCGCTAACGCTCGAGATGACAAACTTTTCCATTATGAGCCATACCAGCTTCGTTGGAACCCCCCGCATCTAGACGACGAAGTCCTTATACACGGGGATCTGTACATGTCTGCGTGTTTCCATGAGGCCCATAGCCAACTGCAAGAATCGCCAGGGGAACCAGGCTGTGACTTACCCCGAGTGGTGGCTGCTCTGATGTTCTGGTCAGACGCCACGCAACTGACTTCATTTGGAACTGCTAAGCTCTGGCCTACATACATGTACTTCGGGAACGAGTCCAAGTATCGCCGTTGCAAGCCGTCGTGTCACTTGAGCAACCACGTTGCTTACTTCGAAACAGTACGTGTGCCAAGCTTGTGGGCTTTAATTTATACTTAACGTCGCGTTGCCAGCTCCCCGACGCATTCAAAGACTTTACTGGCGGAATCAGTGAGAGTGCGACTCACTGTCATCGGGAGTTATTTCAGGAGCAATGGAATATATTACTGGACGAGGAGTTTCTAGAGGCGTACGCGCATGGAATTGTCATTCGCTGTTGCGATGGCATCATGCGTAGATTTTATCCTTGGATTTTCACGTACTCTGCAGATTATCCTGAGAAGTACGTGATTTATTTCTGGTTCGATATTGTCGATTCTGATTTCGCCAGAGTTCTTATAGCCACAGTTCGAAATTTGGGAAGGTGCCCATGTCCCCGTTGCCTCATTCCAAAGGATCGGATACAGGACATGGGGAGACCCCGGGATAGACAGCAACGCTCGACCCTGGAACGCAATCCTCAAAAAAGAGGAACTTTGGTTAGCGAAGCCCGTAAAATGATTTACGAGAATAACTACGCAGTCAGCAGCGCACCAGTAGAGCACATTCTCAAGCCACACTCCTGGGTGCCCACCTCAGTGAGATTTGATCCCCAATTGCTGACTACTGCTAACCATGCTTCAGAATGCTTTCATAGACCGCCTCAGTCTAATGGGGTTCAATATTTTCCATGCTTTGGTGGTAGACCTTCTACACGAATTTGAGATCGGTGTATGGAAGATGCTGTTCATCCACCTGCTGCGAATTATCGTGGCGCATGACAAGGATCTAATTCATCGATTGGACGAGAGGTACAGTGTCACATACCGCGTTGCTCGTAGTGTTCAGCTGATCTCTACCATCAGGTACAGGCAAACCCCGATATTTGGTGCAGCCACCATACGAAAGTTTACATCCAATTCTTCCGAGATGAAACGTATGGCGGCTCGGAACTTCGAGGATCTCCTCCAGGTACAAGTTCACTGCATATCGATGTTGAATAGGCTATTGATGCACTATGTACAGTGTTCTATCCCTGCTTTCGACGGCCTTCTTCCCGAGCCGCACAATCGAACTGTTCTCCAGTTACTATTCACCATGGCTCATTGGCATGGGCTAGCTAAGCTCCGCATGCATTCTGATACGACCCTCGATATCATGGATGAAGTGACGTCGGCGCTCGGGGACCAATTTCGTAAATTCAAGGCCACAGTTTGCGCCGCATACCAGACCCACGAGCTGCGCCAGGAGGTTGAAGCTCGTACCCGATGTAATACAAAGAAGGCGGGGACACAGACAGTAGGGCGTAAAGGAAAAGCAAGCTCGCGCCTCGCAGAACAAGGGCAGGCAGACCCTTCAGGGCGATCAACTCAGAATGTGCAACGAACGAAGGTATTCAATTTCCAAACGTACAAGTTTCACGCGTTGGGAGACTATGTGTCTATGATACGCCGGTATGGCACGTGTGATTCGTATAGCACTGAACCGGTGTGTTCTAAACTTTTTAACTGTGAACTTGACTGATTGTCTTCAGGGTGAACTCGAACATCGTTCCCCAAAGGCCAGATATCGCCGCACCGATCGCAACTTATTTGTCAAACAGTTGACTCGAATTGAACGCCGTCAGGCTCGTATTCGCCGTATCGGGGACAAAATTGTTCATTGCCCCCATGTTGAAATTTCTGAGTTGGCGACGAGTCCTGAAGCTCATCACCATATCGGCCTGACTCAAAAGTACCCTGTACACATAGGATCGTATTTACGCAGCCACGAAGGAGATCCTGCCATCATAGTGAGTTCAATCATACCCCATCGACAGACTTCTAACACACTCATGCAGAATTTTGTTTCGAAACTGAAGGGTCATCTATTGCATCGTATCAACACTTCGAGCGATTCTCTGGGTTCCCGCAATGAATATGACATCAACACAATAATCATCAAGGACGATCAGATGTATCGGCATAACATTGCAAGGTTCAATTACACAACTTACGATGTTCGCAGAGGCCAAGACGTGGTCAATCCGAGGACTTCCCACTGTAACATTATGGTCCTCCGCACCGACACTGACATAGGAAACCAAGGTCACAAATATATCTACGGGAAGGTACTTGGTATATACCACGTTAACGTGATCTTTATCGGAAGCAGTATGATTAATTATACTCCCCGTCGAATGGAGTTTCTATGGATACGCTGGTATGAGCCGATCGATCAGGACTCTACCTGGGGGACCTTAACCCTAGACCGAGTGAACTTCCCGCCTCTAGCAGACAAACACTCATTCGACTTTCTTGATCCTGCAGATGTCCTTAGGGGCTGTCACATTATCCCTCGTTTTGCCAGCCGCAAGAGACATGTCGATGGATCGGGTATGTCGGCAAGTGCAGGAGATAAGGATGATTGGTGTGAATACTTTGTCAATCGGTGAGTTTCTCGCATCGTATCTTTGATTCGTAGCATCATCTTCATGTCAGATTTGTGGATCGTGACATGCTCATGCGTTTCCATTTCGGGCTTGGTGTCGGGCATGTTTACTCTCACCAACGCGCTATGCAGGTCATAGTTCAACAAAATGATATCACAGCGCAGTCTGTGTTTGTCGGAGAAGATGGCAAAGATGCCAGAAACTCCGGAGAGGGCGATGAAGGTGCAACTGACGATGAAGATGATGAAGATGATGTTCTGATAGTAGATCCCGCTGAACAGTGGTGTGGCAGTAGCCAATCATCGCTGTTAGAGCAGTACGAAGAGATGTACGACAGCGAAGTAGAATTGGATTATGAAAATTAGATCATATTGTGATGACGAACGTAATTACACTCCATCCATAACTACTCTAGGCATCTGATTGCGGCGTGCTGCATTAAAGTCTGTTCTAGGCATCGGATGGCGTCGAAGCTCCTCGTTTAGTCAAGCGTCCATATTTCAGAGGTCTGTACATGTAAATATTTTGATGGTATTATAACCGTATACGTCAGGATCCCCTTTGCGATGGCCTTCGCTTATCCTGGGGTTCAATTTAGAGTTTTGAAAATGGTGAGTCCGTCCAATAACTCAAAACTATCCGAATAAGAATGATTTAAAAGTCTATCGATCTCTCTGCCATTTTCATTCTCAATCGCAATGGCTTCCTCCTCTCACATTGCCCACGATCACCATATGAACGAGCCGGCTATGAAGCTGGACTCATTTATGTATGACAACTCTGGCCTCACATCCTACTCTGTCAGTTTTTTTGTTACCTTCCAAACACAGTGAACCCGCTCACTCAGTTCGCAGGGCGATTTCGTTGGTCTGGATGATATCGACTTCATTGGTTATTTGGCGTTGGGACCTGGGCCGACTCTGTACCCTCTATATGTAAGTACCTGTCTTTCTGACGAAGTTACATAGCGCTTATCATTGTGGGCCTAGTGTCGACCGGCGCTACATAATGCTGTCAGTGGTTGATTTTGTGCGAGACTACATACTTACTTCCTCCTAGTTGAAAGTGCACATTTCTCTATATGCTTATGTGCTGACACCAGTCGTCCATCGTTCGGCCTTGGAAACCGATCAGGGCACAGAAGTTCCCATCTACATTAGTTCTGTAAGTCGAATCTCTATTGCGTTTGTGCCCCCACTGAGCAGTTCTATAGTTTCATGCTACGAATGCGCATTTAAATTTGCCTGCGAGGTCCATGAGGGTAGGTCCCGATAACCAGTTCTATGTTGTGTACGACTGTGTAAGTCCGCCTTTCAAGAATGTAGGTATCTCACTTGACAATATACCATAGCTTGGTCCTGACAACTCCACCACTGTCGTCCATCCCGCCCGGCATCCTACTGGTCATTACCCTTGGTCCAACATTGACCTCGCAGTCCTTGCAGCCACATCAGATGCCTGCGACAGTAGTGGTGTTGCGATCGTCCCTGGTTCTTCCACCCTCATGACTTCGGACGACGTAACTGAAGCCGACAGTTTAAACGATGCCTTCATGTTGGATGAGTCTTGCGGCGACGAACATTCGACACCCGGAGACCCAACCAGTGCCCATGCATCCCAAGCAGCCACGTCGAACCCGCCGACTATCTATTCATGGATTTCATACTCAGGCAACATGTTAAGCACCGCTGCCAGTACCCACGCAAATCGCAAATCAACTGCCACTTCCAAGGGGAAAAAAGCGAAAAAAGTTGTTGTACCCGAAGGGGGCCTCAAGAGAGTCATGAATACTTATCCGAAGTGGAAATTGGCCCTTGCCTACCTCTGGGTTCTCCTACGGATAGCAGTTTGCGTTGGTGAAATCTCAAACCCCCACAAGCTCACTTTCGAAAATCGGGCAGAAGCTATTCGCAATGTCTGGCCTCGGGCCCTCCTTCGGGCTAATATTAATTCCTGCGATTTGGAAGAGGGTGGGAAGCTAAATTTCTCTGACACGCTAGACATACTGACCCCTTCTCAGTGTTGTCGCTTACCACTAAGACTGCTATGTCTCATGATGATGTATTGAAACTCGTACGTATGAATCCTTACTTTCATTAGCGTAGCTCATCCCAGAACAGGCCAACCCATCACTCTCAGAGTTTGTCTACGATACCAAGCGCTTGGCGTCATGCTCGATCGGCCATGCCCAGGCAGGCTTCAACCTTGACGACTTAGGTGCAGGCATCTTATTGCTCGACATGATTCAAAATCTGCTCCAGCAGTTCATCAGACCAAAATCGAATGTTCTGCCAATTAGAGTAGGTGTCCCGCATTCCTTTGGTTGTCAGTCTTATTTCGCCCTGCAGGCAAACGGTTTTGCTTGGTTCCTCACCCACCAAATTGCCAAAGAGATTATGTGGCACGTTATTTTTCGTTCAACTAGCACACACGCTGTTCGACTGGTGTTGGCTGATCTGGAGCCGACAACGTTTAGGAATGTAGATCACCCACCCTTTCCAACTATGTCATTTCTGGGGTCCAGTGTAAGTCTCTTTTTCTTTCTGTTTCTTTTTTCACTCGCTTACGATGTGTTTGAGTGTTACGGTGCTCTCCTGCTGAAATACGCAACCTTAACAAAAATACCCGTCGATCTACTACAATATCCACACCCGGCCCAGGTGTACGAAGAGCTCTGCGAGACGGCTGTCACACTTGTCAACGAGCGCGATGACGAGGGTCACCCCGAGCTCATGTTCAGCTTGGCCCAATTGTGCAACATTTTGTGAGTTCATCGGGAATCTTATGCTCCGCTGGCTAATTGGAGCACAGGATCAACCAGGTTTTTCGGCTTGGCCGATCACATGAGTGATGAAGATGGCCAATAAATAATGTCCTATCTGTATCTCATCTGCAGTAGTCTTGTTTCGGAATGTACATCGATATCTGTTATCTGTTGGGCTGGAAACATTTTTTGGATTGTTTAAGTGTGATGGGGATATGCAACGCTGAGCGTCTTGAGTGTGATCATACAGCCAGAATGGTAGCGACTATGTTACTCAAAGTAAGCAATATCAATGTTCACCAGCCCCGCGCTCACGAATGACATTTAGAGATCAAAGAAAAACTAGATAACCTTCTTATACATTTCAGAAGTCCCTATACCTGCAGTTTGACCGAATTCTGCCGTGTCTTTTTTCCAATTCTTACCACTACCAGAGAGTTCGTCGGAGGAGTTTTGGTGAGTATATGTATTTATTCGAATGCACAATGACCTTGCTTATTTTGAGTCAACACCTTTCGGCAGTGTAATCGCTTGGTCCTCTCGCACCAAAGCTCAGAGACGAGCGCTTACCAAAGCAATAACCCACCTGTGTCCCAAAACGTATGATGACCGGCGAGTACACGCCTTCCTTCCCCTTCTCAACATTTATTCATAACGCTACAGCCTTTCTTCTGCAGATGTTCTATCCGCCTTCCCTGCATCTACATCTGCCATCGTCCACCACCAAACCTCTTTCACCTATCATCAATCATCCGTCAAACTTATGACCCACACCCAATCCTCCTCGTCTATCTCTTCGACCCAATGTCTTGTTCGTGTTCCTCGAAGGTATGTATACTTGAGTCAATATATATGTTTAATGCACTTATCTCGCCTAGCATAATGGCTGGTCCATCAAGGCGACACATACCTTGTTCGTGGCAGCATAGCAGTACTAACGCAGGGCTTATTGGCATGTCTGAGGAGTATCTGGCGATAAGCTATTACCTCTGCTTTCCTTGCTGGTATTGATATGACTCGTGCGGAGAACGAGACTGGCTCATTCTTGATCAACGGCCCGCCAGACGAAGCTGCAGCCAAGTTTCTCCGCCGAATCTCCGGTTTGTTTTGTTGATTCCAATTTAGTAATTAATATTATTTTAGAGTTCAATCGCTTCCAAGGTCAGTACGCCATTGCGTCCAAATTAGGACGAGGTCGAAGTGCATCATCGCTTCCAAAATTCTGGTATTATAGAGTCAAAGCATTCAACGATCGTGTGAATATTCCTTGAGCCTTTCACTCCCTGCAAAACTTTTTAATATGTCAATTGTCACTTCAGCTTCTTTTTCTACGTCCCAGTCACCTTCGAAAACCCACTTCGTTGAAATAGAACACGCCGAGAATGCCTTGAGATTTTGGCTCCAGAACTTCGGGGCAGAAATTGTTAGTCTGCTCACATTGGTTTTCATACTAATCATTCACAAGTTGCCCTCTAGCTTCCACACTCCCTCTACACTACAGCTTCTGTGCTGTTTGAATCGGTCGACCCACACGATCTGATAGCTCTCCTTGACATAAGCATCAGGGAAATCGCCATGCAGACGCAGCTCCAGCAAGAGGACAGTAACACGGTACTCTTTCTCCAAAGAGGGAGATGCTTTATGGAGGAGAGAATGTATCGAGCACAAATGGAGGTTTCATTATTCAGTAAAGCTATGGCAAACTTGTGCGAGAAACTGAACACTACAACTAATTCAACTAATTCGCGTGAGTTATTCTATTCAAAGGGTCATGTCCAAAGAATTCAACATCGTTCCTAGCTCCATCGCTTGCTCCAAAGCTCCCCCTGGACGCTGTCGACTATGAAGGAGTATGTCAAGAATCTCCCTCAGTCAAATTCGACTGTCCCAGATGCATCGAGGCCGTCCGATCCAAATGCATGGCATGGCTTTCCGCCTGCCGCGAGGCATCGCTTCTGACATCGTCACGTTTTCATGACACTACAGCAGTTGGTAACAAAGCTAGCCGAGTACTTATTGACCCCCCGCAACATGTACACGATTCTTGCCGCCATGAAAACCTCTCAAAGGTGAGCGTCACTAATACTACGAAGGACCTGGTATTCTGACGTTGTGCAGCCGGGCAATCCAATTCTTCACCTACCTGGTTACTTGAAATCCCGCGTTGATGATATGGCACGTCGTGCATACGTGAGCGCATGCCTTGCGGAAATCAACAGACCTCTAGGCACCGGTACCGGTAGCGATAACAGTAACCACTTCAGAGCAGAGAGTAAAACACTGGACGAACTCAAGTATGACTTCTGTATTATGTATTTGAAGAAGCAACGCGCACAGTCCGAAGTGGACATGTTTGCTGAAGCCATAGCACGCACTGTTGGTGGGCATGAAAATTTTGCTTCAAGTTTTCTTACGTTAACATCGCTGTCGGCTTGTCAGAAGGCGCATCTTCTGCCAGTGCTACGACGATCGAACCACCTCTACTTGACGATGATTGGTTTGACGGTTGGAACTCAACCTCGTCCCTATCTTCCGATATTTATGCACTTCTGTGAGACTCGCTACCGTCCAAGTCCAAGTCCAAAGCCAAAGCCAGGGTTTGGTCATAATTATATTTAATTATTTTCTGTTGTACGTCGGCCTTGGTTTGGTTTATGTCATTCTTGCTACCTTTTTCATCACTTTGTTTACCATTTCCCCAGTGATGTCTACTCGCCTGTTTCGAGGTACCGCCCATTGTCTTCAACTCAAATGTACCCCTTATCTGCCTCTAACTCAAATGTACCCCCTATCACTTCCAACTTAAATCACCTGCATCGTACTATCTTCACTTATATCCAACAAGTTGCTCCCACCTGTTTCCTTCGAGCCTGGTTTTAGTGTATAAGATGACATGTATTGTTTCCTACAACATTTGAATTCACTGTTTGCTTCGTATCAGAACTGAAATAGCATCCTCGTTATTATAAGTTATACCGCGCTATTGAATCTTCTTTTCCGGACTCGCAGAATTCTGAGATGCTGCGAACGTATAACTTACTCCAATTTTGTATTGTTATTAGTACTGCTTGTCCGTACATCGCAGTCTCGAAATCTAGACTTATTATTACATACTCTTGAGTGACACTTTAATAAGTTCACCCACACTGATACTACATGGTACTGCTCTGTAACCACCTAGCACCATTGTTCCATAGACTCGGCCATGGTGATGATCAGGCAGGTGATTGCAGGCGGACTGTCATGATCGTAGTTTTTGCAGCTTCTACGCAGTTTAGATAAGACATATCCTATCATTTAAAAAATGTTGCAACACATTATAACTTTACTGGAAACACAAAAGCTTTGTAAATGCTAGCCATGTTGGTGATGGCCAGACAAGTAATTACAAGCTGGCTATCATAATTGTAGTTTTTGCAGCTTCTATGTAATTTAGATGAAACATATGTCACTATTTAAAAAATGCTACAATGTATTATAAATCTACTGGAAATGTGATGACCTGTAGTCATTCAACTACAGTGTATGGACATGCAGTTATCTCACTGTTGTCTGCTTCCAAGACATACATCCAGATGGTATTTCTCTGGTATAGTCATATCTTATTTCACCTATGTGTGACACTATGATAAAAATATCTAAGGCTAAAAAATGATGTACAATAATGTGTTTTAATTACCAATTCTGTCTGGTAATATCAATTTCGGGTTGATTCCCTGATGTTGATGATGTAGCACTTGGCCTCATGCTAGGCCCATATTTACATCAGGAAATTGATGTAGGACTTAGAGTCCTTGTAGCTTTGTAAAGGCTATTTTTGCAGTGTCCCATAGGTCCTTGCATTGTACACACTAACACTAATGTGGCATGCATCTTTTCTGCTATTGGCCAACAGCCGCAGCTTGTGTGCGTGTATCTTGTGCTACTTCAACTCCATCAAAATGGACTGTCTTTCTGGCATCATCTTTAGTGTTTCCACACTTTAGATCCCTCTGGGCCATTGCTAGCATAAGTGCTTGTGTGGTGCACACCACATCTAAATCTTCTTCATCCTCCTCAGGCTCAGATTTGGCGATGGTATGAATGAATGCGGACAAGTTGACATCTACAACCACTTCCATTCCTGGTGATGCTATTACTGACATGTTAGAAGGTATCATACTGGTAACACTGATACCCGGCAGCAAGAAGGTTGTGACTGTGACAATGTCGTTGAATGGGTAAGGGTCCCACGGGTGATGATCAGGGAATTTGACCATTAGGTGCATAAGTGTTTGCGCCTGGATACCACTTGGGAAGCCATCTATGAAATGCAGTCATGCTCTGCCTTACCTATACGATCCTTCTCGATCAGCGCTTGCTCGACTTTGAGAAATGCGCGCTGGTAATCGCCCAGTTCTTTTACCGAGCACATTGGTATATTCTTTTGGTTGCACACAATTGCAACCAGATCATCAATAACATATCTTTGGTCACATTTGCAACCAGGATACATTGTTTTTACCTCTTTAATATACGCATGATAATTGCTGTGCTTGGCCTCAGGCATTTCTGCCCATAGCTCTCATTCGCTCGTCGGCAGGTAATGAATTATACCTTTGATGCGATCACCATTTACGAGACCCACCTCATTGGCAAGGACCTCATAATCATCAATGAAGGTGAGTAGGTTTTTGGTAGTGCTGTTGAACTTCAGCGTGCCTTCTGTGCCACGGATCGGCATTCTAAAAGTGAGAACAGCAGACATGGTAGGTTGTGGGGTGGCTGGGGGAGATTGGTGGTTGGGTTTTTGAATGAGAGGTGACAGGCCATATGAGAAGATAGCGACAACCATGTGGATCAAGTTAGGTGCGGGCAGTGCGGAAATTGTATAATGCGGATGGGATGATGAAGTGGCGGCAGTGGTTGTTGGGATGCTTGTGAATTCTCTGTCTAAATCACTGAGGGACATTAACGCACTTTTACTTTCAATGTTATGGGTGCTGCGAAGTGCTGGCTGTTCAGGCATTGCATAGAAGGTGCCAGGTAGGACACTCTGAGGGTTATCTAGTGCTTCAAAATTGTCAGACAATTCACCTTGTACTAAATCCTTTGGGGAAGGCATGACTGGCAATGCGGGAGCACGGTTGCGTGCTACAAATAGGTTCGGGTCGGGGTGGGTCAGCTTGGAAATGTTGCGTGGGCAGTGCTTACTCTGTGGTGCGAAGAGTTCTTTAATTGGTGTTAATTGTGTATTCAGAAAGGCGCGGTTAAAACTGTCAATCACTTCTTGGCGCACTGTGTGTTCCTTTGTAGGTCTCAACTGCCTACTAGTTTTCTCAGATGATCCCCTTGCGGTGGGCTCCAATTGTGTGTGAGGAATGATAGCTAGATGAGAAGGGGTGAAAGGAAAAGAAAGGGTGAAGTGGGGTAAAACTCAAATAGACCTCTGGGCGCAAGTATATGATTCGGCCCAAGGGGATTGCTACTGAGAATGATTGCTCTATATATAAAAATGAGGGAAGTCACTGAAACTAATAAGGGTGGTTGAGAATGGATGGAACACGAGGGCTAGCGCAATGCGATGTGAGCATGAGCAAGCCACCATTGACGCGGCACAAAGTGAGGTTGAGCGACTGAAGATACATTGATGCATGGTAATGTGCGGCCATGCAGAATAGGCATGCGGGCACTGCAAAGCATTTAGGCAAAGCAGTGGGACAGTGGATTCATAAGTAGCACAAAGGCTGTTGAAACAAGGAATTGATATGATAATGCAGCCGTTAGATAGACACATGCGGTGGTTGATGCAAGGCTTAGATATCAAGTTCAGATGTTTAATGCGTGCAAGCGGAGGATAGATTCAATGTGGGAGGTAAGAAGATACATGAAAATTCATAAGTACAAGTATATATGAGAGCATACTGAAGCACTATTCAGAGCCGAGTAGGTAGTGGTAATAGGTAATAAGGGTCCATGACAAAAGTAATGGAGATATAAATGATATAGCATTGGAAATATGGTCAGTCTAACACAAATCGAGTAAGGTACGCACCAATAGACAAGTGGAGGACATGGATAGGATGGGAGGAGGACGCACGACAGAGCCAAAGAAAAGCCGGTGCATTCTGATACACACGTGCGAGCCACGGCCATTGGCCAATAGCAGAAAAGATGTGCACCACATTAGTGTTAGCGCGCGCAATGCGAGGACCTATGGGACACTGCAAAAATAGCCTTTACAAGGCCACAAAAATTCTAAGTCCTACATCAACCTGAACTTGATATGACCGGATATAATTGGTAAAATGATATCAAAAATCCACTGAATTATATAAGATTATATACAAAGATAAAGCTTGATACAAGCACAACAAATAGCTATTGAATGAACAAGGATTACAAAAAAACTGACAATCTGATGTAGATATCAAGTCTTATAATTGATTGCAAGAAAACCAACATTCTGATGTTTGAAATATCAAGTCTTACAATTCATTGAAAGAAAATCAGCATTGTGATGCAGATATGTCAAGTCTTATAATTGTATCAACAATTCTCTATCAATTGATCACCACTACCAACACTTGCATGATATTGCACTAACCATATCATATGACAAATGCTTATGTAAGTCTGAGTTTGAAAGCTTTCACCAACTTTGACACTTGTCTTCTCTTGTTTCACCACACTCACTTCTAGCTCTTCAAGCTAACATCCAAAGTTCCCTCCCTTTTTATCCTCTTATGGTGATACCTCTGGCCTTCTATGGTGGTTTATCCTCCTCCCTGGTCCTCCCTGGCTCCTCTCTGGTTTCTCCTCAGCCCTCTCCTTCCTGGTCCCTTCCTGGTCCTCCTTGGCCTTTTCTTATGATATCACTCTTTTCCCTTGGATCAGGTAACTGATATCTCCCTCTTTTGTTGTTGTATCATCTCTCTCTACTCTCCTGTATTAGTATTACATGTATATACCTTAATACCAATCAAAATTTGATTTGATTTGTAAAATAATAAAATGAGTATCAAGATTAAACTTTTTAATAATTTCTTGTCAATTTTATTTGAAGTTGTCTGGCATTATAAAACTTTGTCAAGGATGGCAGATATTTGCAATATGTATCATAATTGTGTCTTTGATGGTTTTCCCCAGCGTAGTCTAACTATTTAAAGCTTTGTAAAGCTGAGTGCAATTATGATAGATATTATATCAATTTTATGCTAGACAAAGCTTTATAATGCTATGTTATTCTCAGGTCAATTGCCTGATGTAGTTATGTTGTGATTCATGTCAAATGCCCATCATATGATAATCACTTCCTGATGTAACCTGACACTTTAACTAGTGGGCCCAATGTTTCAGCCATATTAGCTGATCTGATATCCTGCACACTCATCCTTCCTGTGTCCTGTCCCATCTTGCTAGCCCAACTAGGTGCATAGTTTCTTATTTTACATGTTACTCATGCTGTAGTCAGCACTATTACATGTTTTCTCATCATCTGCAGTACCTCATGTTGTTTTACATGTATTTCAGATCTGAAATATTCCAATACTACTTTTGCCTATAGGTTTCTGGA